GCTGCGACAGATGCATATCTCTGTACAACCACAACTAACATCTCAACAGCTCTGAAAATGCAGTCCTCATGCATTTCTGTTTCCGTGATGATTCTCTTGGATTCACTTACAATTTTTCATTTATGAAAAGTATTTGTTCTCATTAGAGGAGTGCGATAGACTTACCTCCACGTGGTACACCCTGGGCAAAGTATACTCATACGGCAAAAAAGTCTATAAGCTGACTTCGGACTTTAAACTACCATGACACCATTGTATGTCATATTCCACCACTTCCACAGCACTCATCTTAACTTTTCTCTGCCTTTGTGTCTCTCTGTCTCTTTTACATCTGTGAATCACTTTTCTGTTCCTCATCCCTCGACTTTCTGTTACTTTGATGTTCCTCCTCCTCCCTGTGAAGCCCGAAGTCAACTAATGGGCTAATGATAACTATCAAAGCGCCAGGCACTTGAAATAAATAAATAAATAAATTTGCACTCATAATATAATATCTTCAAGGGAACTAATAAATTTTTAAAATTAATTGCAATATGAAATAAGCACTTATTTGGAGTATTACTTTTAATTTATGTATTTTCCAGTTCGTGTGGTTGAGGATTTCACCAATCAGCTAAAAGTACTGCGGAAAATAAAATTTCGCTTTCACGGTATTTTAGACAAAAAATTTCGGACCTTGTGATAAACTCCCGAAGTTGGGATAACTGGAGCACTTTTTCAGTCGCGAATACAAATTCCATCACATTAAATAAATGTAATTATCACAGTAACTATTTGCGAGTTTAATTTAAAGGGCCAATGGTAAAGCAGTTTGTTTAATAATTGTTGAATAGCCATTTACAAAACTAGGCAGCCGTCCCACAAAATTTGGCACGCGAAACATCGGAAATTTGCCAAATTAGGAAGTAAAATTGAACCATTGAAGGTAGAACCTTGGTGTCCCGACCATCTGCTCGGTTTCTACAAATGGTTATGAAAATGTGTCATTTCCCCACCAATTTGTAACAAGAGACTTTTTTCCTGTCTCATCCTGGAATTTTGAATCATATCAAGTAAAGCTTTGCGCGTTGCCATGCAATAAGATAAAGATTTTAAGACAATCTACCAAACAGCATGAACTAAATTCCCCTTTGCCCTAAAACTCACAATGTGTAAAGCGTATTCCAAAGCGTTAATAGCGCGCTCTGCAATAGAGAAATTGGAAAACAAAGTTAACTTTTTCAGTATAAAATTGAAGATAAAAAATGTTTTAAATGCACTTTACTAGATACAACAAAGAAGTGAAAGTCCTACCACTTATATATGTATATATCAATTTTTAATGAGCCGAGTTCAATTTTAACTTACAAAACTGTTCCCATTTTGTTTCAACTTTGAAATATCTCAATTTTGTGATTTGCGAGAACAGAGATCGAAGTCCACAACCGATCACTAGCCTAATTAACAAATGTCCATCTGGTCGTTTCGTTGCCTCAACTAAAATCCACTCCTCTTCCCCCACCCCCCCCCCCCCCCCCCCCACCCCCCAAATAGTCCATTGATTCAAACAAGAACGTCATGACAACGTAGTAAAAGCAACACAGGGGATTTATAAATACTTCAATTTCTAACATAAAAATGGTTCATTAAGTTTGCATTTTACAAAGAATGATAGTAATCTTATTCAAAAGACCGAATAAAAAGACAGAGCAAAATCCCAAAAAGGAATGATGATAAGTTTAAAAATAAATTTTGTGGATGAATAAAGATAAAGATGTACGTTTTAAGTGCTGCCCATGCAAGCCAATAGTGAGCACAGCAACCAGATCAGAGATTTTGGAACCAATCCTAACTCGTCCCAATACTCTGTTGGGAATGACCAATTGAATCGGTTCTTAATGTTTCCTAATTCTTATTAAAATGAAACGAGATTACCTAAACGGGTATGCCTAAAATTTCTAGATCTAACAATGGAACATCCTTCCGGATCCCCTATAATGCAAACTTGCGTTTTGGCATCTTCCGTTGAAATCTATTTAAAGGGTGATTTCAGAAATGCACCTCAGTAGACGTAGTTCGTATTGAACCTATTGTCGACTGCTGCGTTTAGATGTCCAGAATCCCAGTCTTCCTAATGCTGACTAAAACCCTTTTTTGTCCTAACTTATTTAATATGGGCAGTACTTTTAAAGACTTGAGTAAATTTGAAGGTTATTAAATTTTCGATATAATGTACTTGAATTTAAAGACAGACATGGATAATGAACCGTATAATCTGACAATTGCGCCTTGAATTCAGGCTCCTGGAAGCAAGAAGTCACCATAAATCTTGTCGATCTAACTTAATTAGTGAATACATCTTGGCTACGCTCTAACCTCCCTCGCATCCAAATCGTAATCTTCTAAGCAAATAGAATCTCTAATGAATAATCTGGAATAGATGAACACACTGGATGACCCTAAAACCTGAATGTAACATTGCAATGCAACATATTAATAGCAAAGAATGCAACGGTAACGAAGTAATACTTCATTTGAAGGAGGCGTTAACATATTTTTGAAAGTAGGAAAATTATTACCGTGGCTGAAGTATACTCCTTTACATCATGACTATTGGTATGAGAACCGGTGGTGATACCCGTCCAAAAGCAATCCTGGCAGAGATTGTACCTCGGACAACGGGTGCATTTATATCGCAACCCCACAATTGGCTCCCGTTTGCACCCCTCACACTTCAGCGGATGTTGGACTAATTTGGATGGTAAAAAAATAAAGCACTTAGAAAACAAAAGTGTTATTTTTCGCATTTAAAATGCTAGCAAAGTTGCCGGAGTTTGACATGATTTCAAAATGTCAAATGTCCAGTTTATTGCTATCAACAGTTCACGTAAAATAATAAATTTAACTTTGGTTAAATTTACTCATTTATTAAAACAGCTGTTTGAAAAAAAATATCCTAAATTTATGCTATTTTTAATTGTTGAACTAACTTTCGTTAATGAATTGAATAAATATTATTCAGTAGCAGTGACTCGAATATTTTAAAACTAATAAGTCATAACCACCCCCTTCTCACCTCTTTCTCTTCTCCCCATTTAAATATATTCGAATTTGTGCACACGAATTAACCTTCAGAAAGATCCCCTAAGTACCGTGATTGTTAGCTAGATTCCTTACGCAAATATATAGGACGACTGTTAAAAATATAAATAGAAATACTTACTATTAGTAGAAAGAAGGAAAAAAAGTTTGAATCAAAATTAAGATTAAATGACTGCATAACACAATCAATTATGTAATTTATGACAAATATTGCGAATCTGATTAAAGTAAGAATCGGGGACATATAAATAAAGTTTACATGAACAGGGATGGACATTAACTTGCAAATAAGCCGGTGTGAGTGATGTCAACATACCATTACCAAATTCCGAAACATTTCAGATGTAAAATGTTTTTTTTGCGCATAACGCTGAGTTAAATAAGTTTGGAAAACTGGTGATTTCAAACTTACCAATGAATGAAGAATTGGAATAAGATAAAACCGCCAAAAATTAATTTCAAAGCTCGCAAATGTCTCAAAACATGGAGATGTCAATAGTAAAAGGGGACATTTATAAAGACTCGAACATTTTTATCTTTATTTTTGAAGTTTATTTATCCAATTACAATTTTCCGCCATTCAGTAAATACCGCACGGAATCCCTTTTTTAATATGAATTCATAAGTCAAATTAATATCGCGGGCACATTAAACGCTTCGGCTAAATTCAATGCAAGCACTGAAACATCAAATTTATCAGTGAAACAGACATAGTCAATTAAATAGGAGATGGAAAAAAATTTTATTCGCATTACGAATTCACATTAACACTTGAATTTATTTTGTTAATGGTAATTAAAAGTTTGCTTGGACTTCACATAAGTTACAGCGAAACAAAAAATCTTATTTTCCACATAAAATTTTGTCTCACCATTTTCAACAATTCCAAGCCTATGAAATACTTTCAACCAACTGAAAGATTGCGGCCCTGGTTCTGTAAGCATTTTCTCCACAAATTCTTCCGCTGTTAGTGTTTTAGATTTCTGAAAAAACAATTCACATACACACAAAATGCCAATTAAAAATAAAATTTCCAATTAACACAGTGTCAAAAGTAAGCGCATTAATAAAACTGAAATTCTGAAAAATATTAAATTTTTAGAAAAATATAAAGAAGAAGAGGAAGAAGGGATTGAGGAAATTACCCCTGTTAGAAGAAATTTAGAAGTTTGCGAGTTGTAGGAAAAATTTGGTTCTTCAAATACTCCGACGGCTAAGGCGAGGAGCTCTTGAAGGTAGACCTCAAGCCTTTCCATCTGCAGAACTCCTGCCGAGTTTACCAACAAACTGTAGTGATCTAAGATAAAATAAAATAAGCCATTAATTATTTAATAGTAAATAATTTGACGATTTTTAAACTTACTGAAATGGCTCCATCGGTAGACCAGTCACTTTTAAAGATTATGCCTATTTTAAAATTGGGGAGAGGGGGGGGGTTATAAACTAATATAGATTTTTCAAAGCAAACAGGAACACAAAATGTGACGAGTTTAAATGCCTACGTTTAAAAAATAAATATGACCTATTATCATGTTCAGTCTAAATTCTTTTGTCTTTAACTACACAACCGTATCTACTATCAAAATTAACGCAGTAATTCAATGATTTTCGCATGTAGAGTTATATTTTGATAGCTCCTTTTAATCCAAGCTAAATAGCATTATATTCCATATAAAATTTTGAGTATTCATTCTCCATTTCGCATATAATTTGCACGTTTTAACATTATATGATCCTCAAAATTATGCTTCCTAACGTTACAGAAAGTTATTGCATTGTTACTAACGAATAAGTGAATAATTCACATTGTGTTAGCGTACGCCAAAATAAATATAATATCTGCCATTTTTTAAAATTTTTCATCAACATCGAAGCTTAGTTATAAAAATATGGAATAAATTAAGCTGTAAAATAAAATAATGAATGGTCTGAATTTCCTCAGAAACGGGTGCTCACTTAATTCAAATCTAAAAGAATTGTGAAAAATGGAATCGATTAATACTACCTCATTTAAAATCAATTTTTATGCCAATATGTTGTTCAATTTATCATATAATCGCATTTAAATCACTGCCACAAATCAAACACAAGGTTTACAAGAATGCATTAAAACACAATGGCTTCTCAAACTTTAAAATACCCATTTATTTTTAAATTTTAGTCACCAATTTGTCTCATTGGTCGCTGTGTTTAAAGCTACTCAACTCATTAATTTGACCAAATGGACTGAATAGCCTAAACTTTCACAAATACTGGCACATTTTAATTATTGGTGTCATTTATTTACACTAGGTTATACCCACAAGATTTCGCGTATTTTTTTATTTTCCCAATTAAAAGTCAAGCGAAAGGGCGACCATATAATTTGTTTATTTTTTGGGAACTAATACTGATCCTAGGCAGGGTAGACAAAACAAAACACAGTTAAAAAAGAGCCATAAAATGAATGGCACGTAACCGCTCCACAAATTATCTTGCTGTAGTTTCCCACGTTACCGCTGTATTCGTAATAGTTTGGTTATCCAATGAAGGATACCCTTCCTTACTTCAAAGACAATGATTATACTAAAAACACAATGAAAGGGTGTAGCAATAGCGGTTCCGGTGTTCTAAACACTTTTTTTGAATCCAAGGAAAGTAGAAATATCAACCTCTGGCATTTTTGGAAATATGCATGGCACTCATCGATACGCATACTTAACCGCGCTTTGCAACCTTCCATTTTAAGCTGAAATAAGCTTCAAACCCGATTGTGAGTACCCATTTGAGCATTTCTGAGTCTCCATTGAGAAACTTGTTTTTTCTAACTCTTTTATCCTTGTGTTAATCTTCTGTCGAGAATAGTTTCCCTTAATATTAATGTTTGAATTGCATAAACAGTTACAGTTTGGAAGACAAGACTAGGGTATAATTTCGTAATGTTTGAAAACGAAGGACTGTTTTCAAACCCATTAACAGGATTGTTCTATAATGCCTGTCTTGAAGAAAGAGTCAGTATTTTAGAGTCTTTATTAATATATCATACTTTAAACCCGCTCTAAGGACCATTTTAATCCTAAAAAATTAGATAAACCATTCACAGAATTTGTATCGATTGGTAACGAATTCGTAACTTCGTGCGACACGGGTCTGAGTTCATAGATCAAATAAAGTTTTGCTGTTAATCCTATCAATTAAATGCAAAAAATGGTTTTATTGAGCGCTTATTTCAATCTGCAATCCTGCATCTCGATCAATGTATGAAACATTTTATGTAAAATTAACCTCGTTTATTTCAAAAACGTTTATGCCTGATAAAAATAATAAAATTTAAACCAAGCATTCAAATCTATTATCCCATACGAGTGTCCAATAACAAACAGCAAATCAGAAAAATCACTTTTAATTTCCGTAAAACGTTTCGAGCTAAAGCGATGTACTGACAACCGTTTGAAGCAGTTGGAAATTATTCCCACTGTTTGGGAAATTCGGTTTGTGAAGGAGCACTGGAATTGCTCCTTGCCAGAAGGCAAAATGAATAATCAATGTTTATCCCTTGGCATGTATTCATTTTATAACAGACATGCACATTTTACCGATTGTAGTTCGAATAAAATTTGCAGACCCTTTAATGACTGTCATAAATTATAAGTATTTCCAAAAATAAATTGGCATTCAACGTTGCGCGTAAGTTGATACCGGTAATAACCACAAACATGGAAAAATGCTTTAAATGTCAATTTTGCCTAATTTTCACACAGGCAAATTTTTAACTTGTTGCATTTTTTTTCAAATAATAAACTGGCACTGTTTCAAAATCTATCCCTCATTAAGGACGCAGATGTCTATAATATAGATTTTATCCGTTATTTGTAAATTTAAATTGTTTTTTTATATATATTCATAACTTCATTAAAATCTACAAATTATTAAAAATAACTAACAATTTTTATAATATTATTGGCTATTGGATCAAACGAATAAATAGAATGCTTTTTCTGAAACCAAGAACAAAGAATATGTTGGTTAAAGATAATGTGCCATATTTAGAGGTGACTTGATAAGAATATTCTAAAATGGCATCTCAATGGAAATGTAATTGGAAAATTTACTCATTTAACTAACCCTAACCCCAACTCTAAATTTTCATTAAACAATAAGTATTGGAAAAATAATTGTGCATAATTGAAATTTGCAATGAGCTAAATTTCAATGCTATTTGATTACAAATTTTGCATCTTTATCAGAGAAAATAAAATTTTTCTGCTGCATAATACCAAGTTGTTTTAAGAATATATATGGATTATACAGTGTGACCAAGATGAACGAGGTCTGATATTCTGTACGATTTCTGGGAGCGGCATTGAGAGCTTGAGCCGAGTTACTTGTGCACTGCTCAGTTTTGTGTCATCATTTAGTTATAAACATTGTGAGTACTACCCTGAGTAATGCCATTTTCAATGGAGCATTGATAAGTGCATAAACCCTCTTGTGATGTAAATCGTTTGCGACGCTCAATGAAGAGACTGAGATCGCGTCATTAACAAACGGTTGTTCCTGCTAAAAGTCTTGTCAATAAAATCATTTCCATACAGGTTCAATCGCTAACGCCAAATGTAACCGCGAAAATGCAATGTTTTCTCCACAGAGTTTTCGATGTTTACAGAAGAATTTGGTGAAACTTCTTTCCACCCAACCAAATTTCAAGCGAACACAATATCAGAACACGTTGAAGCTGTTACATTTGGGAGATTATAAAGTGAGCATGGGGCAACCGTTGCAGCCATCTGACTGCTCAAAATACCAAGACAGAGTTTAAAATGAGTATTCCTAGTACATTCTTTGTAATAATAACACATAAATATGCAAAGATTTCCCACAACATGTTTTGGCATGCTTGATTGCTCATCGAAGTTCAAGGTGTACACTTTCAAAACTTGCCGAAAACGATTAAATCTTCAATATGTTGTTATCCGTGATAGGTTGATTTTCGTTGGCCATATCATTCGATCACAAATGTGTCTGAATATCTCAGTTGCTTGATAATTGTACTTCGCATTGCTATACATGCATATTCAATTTACCTCACATGACAAGATCGCACTTATATTTTTCGTTATCAAGCATTTGGAGTAAATCGGAGATATTCCTGGAGGGCAGCTTTTGGCAAGCAAAATTCGCTCTTAGAGCAAAGTAGTGCTATTTTTGGCCCCGATCAACCCTTTGTGGCTGGCCATTCACTTCACCGAATGCGCATCCTTGGGCAACAATTTTGTGGCTACTGCTTTAACATGTGTCCGAACTATAATTGCAACTCTATTGACATACTCACACACAAAGTAACTTTCTATTTTAATCTAAAATTTTCAAATCTTCTGGCGATAAACTAAATTTAAAATAAAAAATTATCTCAGTTATAGAGGCGGAGACGATAATAAACTTAATCTAGCTAGAATTTAAACTGATGCAAAATTGGCGGCAGATTTGAAAACGTATCAGTGACCATTTAAACTTACTAACCCCTCAGATGCTTAAAATCTGTCACTAACCGAAAAATAGCAAATGAAGAAGTATCGGTGTGATTGAAATGCATACAAGGGATGCTTCAAAAGTGTTAAGTAATCAATAGCAATAACACAAATCGATATTGAGCCAATTTGAATAGCTACTGCCATTTCGGTGATACAAAGATTATAAATTCCACCCCCTAAAAAGTGAAATCTCATGTATCTGACCATCTCGAATACGTTTTTCGGTAATCTATATCTGATTTTCAGGAGAGCAAATTTAGTTCATTTTATTGGTAGGACAGATTATTTATAAGCGACGATGTAAAAATGACTTTTTACAGATTTTTTAATGACATGGTTTTATGTGTGACAATTTTCGCAATTAAACACTTTAAAAGTCCCTTTATTTCATTTACTTCGAAATTATTTAATTTCCAACATCTGTACATTTCTTAAATAATTAAATATAATACAAAAAAATGTAGTTGCATCCTGGAATAGGCCCTGGAAACACTTTTGCATTGAACTAAATCAAATAAATTAAATTAATTAACAGAATATTTTAATTATTTTATACAGTGTGTTTAGCTATGAAAAAATAGTTACTGGATACCTCTCGTACAATTAAGAATAAATCACCAGTGCAAAGCCATTTCTCCCCAGGCTCTTCGCTTAATTAATCAAAATTAAAAAATGAGACATTTGCAATTGGTTAAATAAAAATCTGAGATTGAAATTATGCTGCATAAAAGAGCCAAACTTTAAAAAGTTGCCGCGAATATTCATTTAGTATTAGAAATATTCCCAAATCAAGTTGTGTTTGTAGGAATATTTTGAAAGTTCAGCGCCTTTTCTTGAAAATTGGCTTATAAGTCTCATTCTTCACTAATAGGTGATCAATAAACGGATTTGCATGACCAATCACAGAAATGAGAAAAAAATCGATTCCAAACTCGCATGAACAGAGGTCAGGCTTAGTGAATCTCACTCCATCTTTTCACCCATTTCATACCTGGCTGAACTTATCTATCCCGGGACTAGAAACTGTAAACAAAGACATTATTGGGGCATGACTAATAAGGATAAATAGTTCATATTTATAAAATGAATAGAAAATAGGCTTATGAATATCTATCGCTTATTCAAATTTTTATTATTTTCTACCCAATTAGATTTGATAAGTAAAACTCACATGTAAACTTTTCCGCTGGTTTGCCAGTAACGAGAGTAGACAGAGCAACCCTGAGCCCGCTAACAGTCATTCGTCCACAATTGTTGGGATCTAGTATGTAAGTTAGCCATCCGAGTAGTATCTCACTAGCTTGAGCAATCACCAACTGAGTGCTGGTCTCGTTTTGAGTCAAGGCCTTTTCAATGCACATCGGATTTATCACTGCGTAAATTCGATTGAGGAGGTGTTCAACTCCTTGTCGATTTAAACTTGAAACCGGATCTGTCATATGTAGGCCCAATTCGCGAAATATCTCCAATAAACGCCACAGCTCGATGAAACTTACTGGGGGGCGGGGTG